CGGCCACTGCGCCGCAGCTAATCTATAAGAAAACCGCGACTGTTCTCCAAGCATTCGTCTAAAATTTTGCCAAAATTCTTCCAAATATCTGCAAGCGGACCGCAAGAAATCAGCGAACTATTTTTCCGGTGCCCGCCCGCCAATAAATCGCATGGCCGCCTGCCCCCGGCGATTATCTGAGTGAGAGGGATGCGTCATATTTCGCTATTCTAGATACCTTTCTTCTTCCTTCTCTATCTCGCTTATGAAGGTTCTCATACCCTCATATGTACGCATAGTGGATGCCAGGTTACTGCCATACGCAATTGTTTTTTGCTATTTTGTATGATTTACTGGGGATCACCTGGGGATCCCCAGGGGTCACCTCTCATTAGTCAACTTGCTGAAAAGACAATGAAAATGCTGTAAAATTGTATTGAGGACATACTACGGCACTGCCACGGCATGCTTATAGTAGAAATAAGTGAAATCTCAGGATATCGAAATCTTCGATGAACCACTGCTCGCGAGCTAGGGTTTATCGATATATTCACAATCTTCAGATTCCATTTCTCTTGTCGAAAACATGCTTAGCAGTGCCGTTGTATGGCCTCAGTATAATTTTGCAGCGTTTTCATTGACTTCTCAGGAAGATACTTTGAAAATGGGAGGTGATCCGCTGGGGATCCTCAGGGGATCACACAAAATGACAAATAAACAAGTCTTGTATGGCAGTAACCTGGCATCCATTATGCGCAGGTACAAGGGTGCGATAAGCTTTATAAGCAAGATAGAGAAGGAGGAAGAAAGATATCTAGAGTAGCGAGATATGACGCATCCCCTCTCAAATCACCTCCCCTCCCTAGCGGGTATGTACGTGCATGGACCTTAGTACTTCCCAGCACCAACCATGTGAGCCTATTTATAGACCCTCCTCAAAATATTAGGTCGTTTCGAAAGTAATGTCGCATTTTTCAAATGAGCGTCACATTTCGTGGAACCAAGATTTTTAAGAGCTCTTGGGATCAGTCGATGCAGCATTTCGTCCTCTTTCTAATGGTTGTAATCTCATTGCACAATATTCAATGAGCTCTCCAAAAATTACCAAAAGCTGCTCATACTTTTTGTCATGGTCAAGTTCGGCTATTTTTCTATATTTTTGTACTGATTCCCCGAAGATGTACAAGTAACATATAAATAGAGCAAACCCTATAGGCCACAAAACAATTTTTTTTCTTTTCCTTAGTTTGCTTCTTAGAGTTTGTAGAATCAATTTTTCAGTGCTATCAAATTCCATATTTGGTCAACTCAAACCTCACAGAACAATAACCGGCAAGCAGTTCGGGTGTCATTCGACGCAGCTTTTTCTCCTCTTTTTATTAGTTGTTTTTGGTTTCCGATTCATAAAGTTTTCCGGGAAAAAATCATTATAATGCGGGTTTTCCAAGGCTCCTCAGGCTGTACCCGAAATTTCCGAAAGTCGCTAATCTGAAGCGGTAAATGCTCACATGCTTTGCAAAATTAGTGTTAAAACATAATGCACCTTTGTAAGTTTCAGAATACGAAAGTTTATTTGTGTTTGATGCATATGTGTTTGAGACAAGATTGCAAAAATTCGGTGACTTCATTTAAAAATTTCTACAAAAATTATGACGAGATACGGAAAGCAGAAAAAAATGATACCGTTTCCTATATGGTTTGCTCTATTCATCCATTACTTGGACTCCTTCCTGGAGTTATTACAAAAAGTTAGAAAAATTGTGAAACTTGACCTTCCCAAAAAGCATGGGTTGGAGATTTCAGTAATTTTTCAGAAGCTCATTGAGTATTTTGCAGTGAGGTTATAGCCATTAGAAAGAGGATGAAATGATGCATCGAATGCTATCAAGATCTCCTAGGAACTTTGCTTCCACGAAATGTAGCCTTCACTTGAAAAAAGCGACATTACTTTCGAAACGACCTAATATAATTTTTTTGCACCTCAGCGGTATACTTATCCAAAGACTAATAAGTGCATGATTGCTTGAACCAACGGGTGGTCCTACTGCAACAATGGTCACCAAACTTTCGTCATTGGTAAAAACCAAGTTTAGTATATTCTTAACCAATGTATACAATTTGACTTTCTATATAAGCTGATGACTGATGCAGATTCAGAAAATTTTTCGCCGCAACATTGTCTTTCGGTACCTCAAAAGTGTCCCAATCGATAGTGAGCAAGTTGAAGTTCCCTAGTACTACGTTTGGATAGTCACAAGGTACTAGATCAGAAATTGCTTTAGTCGCTGTTCTAACGTTCTATCGGAGCAAGAAGGTGTTCTGTGAATCAAAACTAATCGAACTTTCTTATTCTTGGTCAAGATGTCAAAACATAAGACCTCATAACCATCTTTAAACGATTCGTTGAAGACTAGTTGGGGACACAAAGACCTCGTTATCAAAAAAGCAACACCTTCCCTCTTTTACTTGTACGGCCACGCCTATCACTTCATAAGTAGAGCAAAGATCACCAAAAAGTGACGCATTGCTGATATCATAGTCATCCACTAACCAAGTTTCTGTAAGTCCTATTATGCATGATGAGTCACCATAGGGGCGAAATTTGAGACTATTTATGTTTTTTTGCAGCGATCTAATGTTTGTTACAAAACATAAGAGAGAACTATCAACTTTTCATGGAGGTCGTTTAAAGAACCACCACAAGCGTACAAGGAGCGTTATTGATCGATACATCCATACAACTATAATCTTAATTTTAGGAACATTGACAATGGTACGATCCATATCAGTCTTGGCCCTCACAAGTTCAAAATTCCCTTTTCTCCCTCGACATATCGTCGAGTCATTTATAACTTAATATGCGTAGTGCAAACTATACACGCCAACTGACGAACTGCGAAACTGGAACCTGCTCATCTCCAGTGATTTTTCCTTGTTTCCTTGTTTTCATTGTTTTAGTTGATTATATGTTAGCCAGTAGAACACATTTCCACATATTTTGTTAGGCTAGAAAATGTTTTACTGGGAAGTTATTAGTATGACTGCCGTCGCTAATAGGGATGTGCAATCTCACATATTAAGTTACGATTGACTCGAGGTTAGATGGTCTAATATAGATACCCATCTTACACGGGAAATTCTCCATCCAAAAAGCATGTTTGAGCGTAAGTTTAGCAAAAAAGGAAGATGGTAATACTACTTTTAGCAATCGATTATGTGAGTGACTGGGCTTGCCCAAGCGGTACTACATAACGGGAAAACTCAACATCCAAAAAGTCAAGGATTTGACCTACACAGTTGTTGCCATGCCTGACTCGGCAATTGCTCGATTTTTCATGGCTTTCAGGAACTGCAATAAGGAGAGGATCCTCTTTTTTTCATGTTCTCCATTTGACCATCCTTTGTAACCGTGTCGGTCGATCGATAAGGAGCAGATCAAGTAACAGATTCTTTTGAGTGATTGTATACTGCTCTAAGAGAAATGACTTTTTCTTAGCTTCTTGACATTCTCCATTAACTCATGGTTGTTCTTCATTATTTCCTCCCTTTGTTTCCGGCTATCGATGAGGTACGCCAGGATTGTTTTAGCGCAGAGTAGAATTTGTTGATCTTGAATTAGCGCATTTGTGGCGGTTTAGAGGTCTGGCGACGTCTCTGGCGACTCATCAAACTTAAGCCTCCTTTTCCTTTGACGCTCTGCCGGTGCCAGCGGATAGATCGGCGTTTCCTTGACATCCTTGACCATCGATACAGATTCATAACCAGAATGAACGAGAATAGGCAGCGGTGTGGGTAAATGGAGGTGCAGTACGGTGCGGGAACGAACGGCTAGTTGATAGCCGGGTTAACGCGACCGCTCAACAGGGGCGCAGACGGCCGAATCATCGAAATCATCCAAAACATCATCTTCTGCCACTATCTTGGGGCCGCATGCATTAACATCCCCGCCGGGGAGGGGATCACAGCTTTAGAAGAAAGCTACTATCCTGAAGCTCCAGATATCTGGATTTCACGCTGTCTACCTGTCCGTAAGTGCTCCCACCATCCTTCACTAAGAACATCTTGAAAATGAGCAAAAAGCTGTACTAGCCGCATTTTCCGGTTTTTGTATGATCCCCTAGAGATTTCCGCGGGCGGATGTCTTCTGTTTAAAGTCATCTTTCTTCCTTCAAAGTTAACAAAACCTTCCAAAGTGGTACTGGTTATTCAACCTAACGGTGCTAAGCGTGTTGCTGATAAGAATAAATGAGATTTAGGAATATCGTTTTTATTTTGTTGATAAACCCCAACTTTCGACTTGTGGTTCACCGCAAATTTTATGACTTCAACATCACTTGTTCTTACCAGAAACATGATTAACACTGTTGGGTTAGACAAACAGCACAACTTTGGAATGTTTTAATCGATTTCGAAAAAAGAAAAATGACTTTATAAAAAACAGGGTCGACAGCCGGGGATCATCAGGGGATCGAACAAAAAGCTGGAAAATGCGGCTTATACAGATTCTTGCTTATGTTCAAGATATTCATGGTGAAGAATGGTGGGAGTACTTATGGATAGGTATGTAGACAGCGTGAAATTCAGATATCTGAAGCTTCACGATATGAAGCTTTCTTCTGAAGTTGCGATCTCCTCCACGGCGGTGATGCTAATGCATGCGGCCTTTAGTTGTACCACAAATTCATCTTGCTGTGCGCAAATAGCAAGTGTCAAGTAAATAGTCAATCATGCGTGGAACTTGTAACTTTTTGAATGTTCCACAGTATAATTAGGATCAGATTTGCTCAGCCGTATGTAATCAGTGGTTACTGTTCATACCTTTCTTGTCAGCTCACTCCGAATGTGTATGGTCTTTTTGAGAGCAGCAATTTGAGTAAAGGTTGACCAGGCTATCAGAAGGACCAATGATTACAACGTTATTGAAGGGGTGTTAGCTTTAGGATACCCATTCAATCACTAAAATTAGGGATAAGGGAGAGTTGGTATGTTTTGCTTTGCAATAGCTTAAGAACTAATTACAGCTGAAGATGATTTGACATCTACGAGGGAGGAGTTCAACGTACTTCTCAAAACGTCAAAGGATGCCCGGCTTGTATGGCTTACGCGAATATTGCAGAAGGTTAGCGTCATGCTCAACTAATGTTTTAATGAGCTACTATGTGAGCTGCCTGACTCCGGCAACGATATTCAGGGTATCGGATACTTGATGATTCGTTACCGTAAAAACTTGCGGTATACGTCAAGAAGGGCAACAACAGTGGCTTCCAAGGCAAACATGTCGAAGAATAGGTGAGATGACCCCTCTAGAATGAAATTTCCATGGAATTTTTATAGTATTAACTCAAGTGTACACATGATTTTGGAAGCTCTTTTCCTGCTCTGCCAATTTTCTGTTTCATTAGACAATATAGTTTTGTCTCTAATCGAAAAAATATTCTAACATTTTTAGGTAGCATACCTATAACTGATATGCTTATACCCCAGATTTTCAACTCAAAGAGTCTTACTGTTATTGATCTGCAAGAAAAAGCTTTTTTGTACAACAATCGAAAGTTCTTACTTGGAAGGTTATTAGACAGTCGAAGTAGCCCCATAACACAAAAAATGTGAAGATGACCTGGATTGCCTAATTACACCTAAAGAAAAAGCTCTTCAAGGTTCTAAGCAAAAATACAGCTATGTACATGTTTATATGAATGTTTGTGAGAATTACAGAATGTCCTGAAAGTGTTCATGCTGTTGATCGTTATCTCTCTTCCCGTATCGCATCAAAGCTTTTTGCAGTTAGGTACCATTCTGTAAAACTGCGATTTTACAGTATAAAGCAAGTCGACATCGCTTTTTATTCATGAAAACGGTAGGCTTCCAGCATAGTGCATCACTCAGACAATCGCCGGGGGCAGGCGGGCACCGGAAAAATAGATTGCTGATCTCTCGCACCCGCTAGCGGATTTTTTGGAAAGCAATCACGACTTTTCGGAAGACCGCTTGCTGAGTTCTCGATTTCTCAGAGATTCAGCAATATATCTGCAAAAGATAAGAGCGAAAAAAATTCAACAGGCGGTCTCTCAAAAATGCGCTGACTCAGCAAGCGGTCTTCCGAAAAGTCCTGATTGCTTTCCAAAAAATCCGCGAGCGGGGTGCGAGAGATCAGCAATCTATTTTTCCGGTGCCCGCCTGCCCCCGGCGATTGTCTGAGCACTTGCATCAGCTGTTCAAATTTTTTCAAGAAGAAAAAAAGATTTGCAAAGTTATGTGGTTTCCAAACAGCTGGTCATTTGTTGACGTTTTACAAGTCTCTAGAACTTGTTCAATGGCGTAGGTACAGTTTGAAATAATTCGCGAAATTTTTGGAAAGTTACTTGGATAGGTCATGAAACTGTGCGAGTGACTTGTTTTTACTTGTATATAATTGAAGTAAAATTTAGATCCAGAAAAATTCCTATTGACAGTTTTTAAGATTTCTAATTTTTCAAAGATTTCATTGTTATGGACCCGTAAAAAAATCTTGAAAAACATAATTTTTTCGTAATGCGTGCGCCTTTTCAGAAAATTTTGGTGGCCTCTCCTTCCGAAACATTTTGGACCATCACTGCAAAGGAATCATTACTTTCATTCGAACTGTGAGAGTTTTCGAGTTGTTTATCTTGCTAAGGCGAGATATGGCTCTTAATGGCTCAAACCCTTCTTATGGTTTATACCATGATTTCAAAGCAATAAAGAGCGATTGGTAATTTGCTTTGCGCCATATTTCCATATTTCTAAGTTGAAGCAGCTCCACAGAATGCTGTAGAAAGAGAGATATTAACGATCAAACACTGAATGGATTCTTTAGGGACATCCTTTACAAGCGTGAGCAAGCGAGGAACTTTAGATTTTTTTTGGAGGATCTCAATTCTTGACTTTTTAGAGCTTGGGTCTTATTATGGCAACGATCTTCGTATGAATGAAAGGATGTGCAAATTTGTGAATGCCATAATACCCCATGATCGACCCTCCGTAAATATTGGCCTGTTCAAGATGATTCTGTTGATTGTTTCGGCTACCGTTTCGGCTTCCTACCTTCGTCAGAGCCTTAAAGTGAGTAGCACATTAGATTCCTTTTTCAAAACGCTCTCTCGCCATGTCAAGCAGGCTGGAGAAAAATTCCAAAACGGAGCAGCTCACTTTTATAAATATTACGTAGATATGCCGATATGCTAGGTCAGAATCGACGGCTTCAAAGAAGTGATTGCATGTGCTCTGAAATGATATATCTTTTGATGTGCAAGCTACTCAGACAATCGCCGGGGGCAGGCGGGCACCGGAAAAATAGATTGCTGATCTCTCGCACCCCGCTCGCGGATTTTTTGGAAAGCAATCAGGACTTTTCGGAAGGCCGCTTGCTGAGTTCTCGATTCCTTAGAGATTCAGCAATATATCTGCAAAAGATAAGAGCGAAAAAAAAATTCAACAGGCGATCTCTCAAAAATCCGCTGACTCAGCAAGCGGTCTTCCGAAAAGTCCTGATTGCTTTCCAAAAAATCCGCGAGCGGGGTGCGAGAGATCAGCAATCTATTTTTCCGGTGCCCGCCAGCCCCCGGCGATTGTCTGAGTATGTGGCAATGAATACATTGTCGAAATGGGCAGGCCGCTATGCGTAAGAATTAAGGAACACGTGGATGGAAGGGAAGGCAGACCTACTCCTCTAGGTACGAATGAAAAATTGCGTCGTTAAAATGCCGAATTCGAGATCTGTATAGCAATTCTGTCGAAAAAACCTGAAGTGGCGCCGCGAAAAGCCTTATTGTTAGAAGCGCGTATAATTTTTGGCTAGAAATTTTCAGATGTATAGAAAAGAGGAAAGCATAGCCATCACAAAGGAACTCGCTCCATTTGTGAATCCGCATAGCTCCTCCTCCTCCCCAGGTTCCAGCAGTAGGTGGTAGTTACCCTCTGAGGTTTTTGTAAGTGAGCCGTTCCGTTCCGGAATTTTGGTTCAGCGTAATGCTTAAACTGCAGTAATAGAGCGTTTGAGAAGACAAATCCCATGTGTTCATCACTTCCAGCTCTGACGAAAGCGAACAAGCCGAAACATCAGCCAAACGAAATTGTATGAATACCATCTTGTAAAGTTTGGTTTGCCCTTTTTAAGGTTCCCCAAATATCCAAAAGAACAAAAATCAAATTCACTGCGGTTTCTACCTAGGACGATGGATAGTAAGAGTAAATGAAGATGGATAGGCAATGTGTAATTGAAAGCACAGTATCAAGCTGAAAGACTTCTTCTGATTCTCTACCGAAAATGTTGATGGTGCCTTGAGCGGTGAAGGTTTTTACAACAGACATGAAACAGCTAGTGACCTTACTCAAACACAATATCTAGACTCCAATCTTAAATATAAAGCTGAATGCTGCTTGTATATTTGTCTGTATATGTCTATACGCGCGTTCCAAACAGAAATTTTTATTTCTAAACCGATTCGGACCAAACTTTGAGCTCATAGACTTCGGGGCGGGGCGACTGTCGGGCTACTTTTCGTTATCGATCAATTTCAATTTTATCTATTTTTTGCAAAGTTTGGGATACCGGGGTGGGATTTCGCACAGGAGGTAAGTGAGCACTCTGATTACGACTACAATATTAGTTTTCGAGCTATTCATTACTTTTGTCGATTTCGTCGACTTTTGAAAAAGTTTAAGCTTCAGGGGTTTGAGATGGCATAGGAGGAGGTAAGTGAGCATGCTTTTGGTGGAATTTGGAAACCAAATGTCTCGTTTGACGTTAGTGGAGTTAATTACCACTCCCTGATAAATGATTTGGCACTTGAAGGCAGCGTTCCGACAAGTTATGGATACCGGGATTTACAGTGTTGCAATGGTACACCCCTCAATTAACAATGAAATCTGGAACGAAAATGCGTGTGCGTAACCCAAAATCCGTTCCGAAAGTCTTCTGAATCCCGCCCACTTACACATATTTTGAAAAAAACGTGGACACGGAGAGCTTTGAAGAAAGCTCATGACATTTTCATACGCTGAAAAACCCAGATATGGCTTCAGCATGGCGGGAATGCTCCGAAAAGGTGGAAACCGGAGAGCGAGTTTTTGCCGGAACATTGCGTTTAACTACAAGTGGTTGGAGAATATAGCCTATGGGAATAACCGTAAGCTATTCGGGATTCTAGAGTCGTTGAGATTGATGATCATATCACAAACCAGGCTGATTACGAATACAACATTAGTTTTTAGAATTGTTAATCACTATCATATTTATGGAATGTTTTGAAGCTTAGGTAACGGGCTGGGAGTTGGCACGGGGGGTGAAGTGGGCTTCCTGATTACGAAAACAAAACAGTGATAGGGATTTGACATGTAGAAGAGCACAGGGGAAAGTTGTACTGGAATACGAATAGTGACCTTCATAGTTATGGCAGGGCGCGCGGAGTATGCCAGCTACTTTATTTACAAGAATGAGTTTCTATTTGTCTGCCTTTCTGTCCGTACATCTACTCCTTATGGGAAATTCCACTTCTGAACCAATACGGACTAAACACTGCACATTGCTATCGATTAAATTTTATCGACTCTGTAGTTTTTTTGCAAAGTTTGAGCTACAGGACTGAGAGTTGGCATAAGGGGGTAAAGAGAGCATGCTGATTATGAAAACATAGTGGTGGCAGGGCACTGGCATAAGGTGGGAAGGTAAGATGTACGTAGATAAGGCATATTGATCTATCATGTTGTGCTGACAAGGCCTTGCGGAGCTAGGTATACAATTGTTTCAATATGAAAGGAATTTGCCAGAAGATCGGATATGCGCTTCAGACAACGCTGCACTGTCCAGAAAAACGATTGGATCCACGTTCCCAAGCTGCTTTTACTCTATAGAACACTGAAATGAGAAGTTTCTGTACCTTAAGTTAGAGTATATAGCCCTCGAGCTGCGACAATGCAAGCTGGCTTTCTTGACAGCGGCCTATAAGTTGCATTTTCATAATGAAAATACATGTGAAGAACTCTATATATAGGGGCCTGCAGGATCGCGAGAGTCGGACGTGCGTACGGCCATTGCGCCGCGCACGTCTGATGTCACTAGGGCAGGTGCCAGATTCATCCGCTTCAACCGGTTCGTTCGGCTCATGGGTCAAATCACTACATTGTCCACAGAAAAGGTGGTGAACCGAATCAACCTGTTGAACAGGATAAGTCTGGCACCTACTCGAGTCGTCGGACGCCGATCTGACGTGCGCGGCGCAATGGCCGTACGCACGTCCGACTCTCGCGATCCTGCAGGCCCCTATACCCAAGTTATATAACACCAGTGCGTCACCTCTGCTTCGCAGAGGCTCGCACTGGCCCTACTTTTTATATGCCTAGCTCACTCCCGCATAATATTGACAGTGGAACTCACCGAGCCATGCAGGGTATCACGAATGATTTGGAAAACAACTACTCATTCCTAGAGCTTTTTTGTGTGAGATCGGTATTTTCGCGTGGATAATACTTTTCCGAGAAGAATTAATGCGTATTTGAATTGGTTCTTGGACTTTTTATAGCCTGATAGTTGCCATAACGACAATAATCACCGTAGACTACATCCCTGTGCAAAAATCTTCTCAAACAATCAGGTAAAATCTTGGCAAATTGGACATTTATGCAACTTATTCTTTTTGGCGCCATTTTCGTAAACTAATCAACTTTACTTCAATTTTTTGGGTTAACGTCCATGGCTTGCACATTAGCTTGTCAAACACATCCACAACTTTGCAAAAAGTGGTGATACGGACCTAATTTTGCTTGACAGAAGCCAAGTGGATCCGTTTGGCGCGCAATTTCTGAGGGATCCACTCAACGGATCCCCTCATGCTTTTGCATGGTGGGCTTTCATGCAGGTAGCGTGCGCTATGCAAAATTTGGGCTTAGGACGTTGGCTGGAACACGCTCTACGAATTTCGTAACGGACAGACAGACACACGCACACACACACAAAAAAACGTAAACACCCTTAGCCCGTTATTATAAGTTATGATATTGAGTTTAGGTACGGTGATGTCGGATGCATTGATGAGACGAGAGTGGTGCTGAGAAATTGGCCTAGTAATTATATCAATGCAAATTGGGTAGTTTTGCCTAATGGCAGAAGATTCATTTGTGCGCAGGTAAAGAAATGGCACATTTGATGCATTTTTGATAATCTAGGAGTTGATAGGGCAAAAAAATTCGGAAATTTTCTGATCCTCATTACAGGCACCTATGAAAACAACTGTATGTGATTTTTGGCATATGATATTACAAGAAAACTGTCGTATGATCATAATGCTTTGTGACCTTATAGAAGGCAGAGCAGATTCAAAGTGTTTGTTACCACTTCTGATTTATGCATTGTAGGTGAAAAAGAAAAATGCATCAAGTACTTTCCTCAGCAGAAAGGTCAAGCTTTAACTTTTGGCACTACAAAAGTCACCCTCATTGAACAGTCATCATCGGCGTACGGTTTTACCATCTCCACTTGGAAGGTAGAGGACCGGTAAGGAAATAGCGATTTTTGTTCCAGTTTGCCTGTTCTTGTAATGAAATCATCTTTACAGGAGCCATCAATGTAACATAAAGCATTTGCAATTGACGGCGTGGCCCGACCATTCTGCTCCAAAGAGCCCATCCGCAATTATTGGAATACATAAGGAGATTATGAAAACATCGCATGAAACATTAATATTGATACACTGCTCTGCTGGTATTGGTCGAACATGTACGATTATGGGTAAGTATGCAGAGGACTCATCACAGTTAAGAACTTCGGTGTTGATAGATGATGAAGGCTGTAAAGGCCACTGTATGATACCGATAAGCTAGGCTCTGTAGCTGAAACAAATGCGCTTCTTAAAAGGGGCAGGTTTACGCGAATAAAGTGAAGGATTTTCACAGCCTTCTTCTGTTTCGGCTCATGGTAGAACATCTTTATAGAGCAACAACGGCAGCAAAATATGTAGAATAAGTTTTATCAATCGGCTGAATTCTAAGAATCAATGATCCTTTTGCTGAAAATTCCTCCATTTAGACTTTTAACACAGCATTTCACGAATTCTCCACGCTTAATTGTTTCTAATATATGCTGTTGAAAAAATCCATTCAGATATTAAACATCCGAAATCGGGCCCTAATGTATTTTTCATAAATCGTCATTATGATTATCACATTTTTGACATCCCTGTTGACCCTGAAGCCCGCTGCTCTTCAACTTTAAATCAACCACACTGATAAACGGAGTCACCTGAGCTAAATGGAGCGTTTTCCTCGTTTCGAGATTCATCTTTCGCGATTCGAATTTGGGAGATTACTTAGTTATCCAGCCATTATAAAGCATCAAAAACTCAATCCTTAATTTAGGTTAGGTAGACGGTGCTTTTAACAGCGTCAATCATAGAATATAGGAAAATTCTATAGCCTGATAAGACACTTGTAAACTTGACCTTTCGATTGTGCAAATTGTTGCAGTTACTTTATGCCAGTCTATGACGTTAGTGGCAAATATTTAGCTAACCCCTAACTAATCTCATCATTTTCATGTCAGATCCTCGCTCTTTGAGCTCAAAGAAGATTGGCATGTATTGGTTGACGTCAACATGACAGTCAAGCTTTTTTGAAGGCTGTGTAGGATCTATTGTGCGAAAACCCTCAATGTACTTGCCGTATTCAACGAATAGCGTATATGACGGGGACCACGGGAGATTGCTAAGGGTGCCTTCATACCGCGCCGGCAGCCGCCGCTGGCAGCCCGTAGCAGCCGCTGGCAGCCCGTAGCAGCCCGCAGCAGCCGCTGGCAGCCCGTAGCAGCCCGCAGCAGCCGCTGGCAGCCCGTAGCAGCCGCCAGCAGCCCGTAGCAGCCCACAGCAGCCGCCAGCAGCCCGTGGCAACCCGTAGCCGCCGCTGGCCCGGGAAGGCGGGCGTCAGAACAAGCAAAGATAAGTACTAAAAACTTGTGACTGAATTGAATCTATATTAAGTTAGTTTAAAGTTAATGCAAGCAGCCACGCTAACTATATTCCAGCAATCCATCCCTCTTACATTAAGAGTAAGAGGAGACATAAGGTCTGTAGATGTAATTTAACACTGGGTGTTCGGATACTATATCCACCCTCTTGCATTAAGAGCAAGAAGAGACATAAGGTCTAATAGGTGGATTGTCTATAGCACATTACTTTACAGAACTATCGAAACCCAGTCAGGCATGTTAAGTTGCAGACATTACCTGCCAGCTACCCTCTTGCATTAAGAGCAAGAGGAGACATAAGGTCTTTCGGTGGCATATGGCATGGAATAGCAACATTAACATGAGGCTGTACGTATAATAAATAGATTGCTACCGGATTTTCACAAGCTTAAGTTGTTAAAGTAGTCCCTTGTTTCATTAGATTGCCGAAACTCATATATGTAACATTAAAGTAGATAACACAAATTAATAGCAATTATATAAGTAGTTAAATATGTAACTTAAACAAATAAAACATTGGAAATAATTTATCAAACAATAATTAATATATGATAGCAATCATATTCAAATAATTACACTACGTTACATTATATTGTACCATCCCAGAATGGGAAAGTTATAAACACTAACTTTCGCTGTGCTATCCAACATTAAACACATGAAAAATACATCGAATATTCGGGAGAACCCTGGCGTGGTGTTGGGCACCCACATCCGATGCAGTTTGCATCACGGGTAACGCTCCCCAGCCATGAAGAGGCTAGCCCTATCCCTGGAGGAAATATACTCCTTCAAAAGGAAACTGCATAAGAGTTCAGGACGGATCGCCTCGAACTCGACGGATCTCAGGTCCACCAAAAATAGTAATTCAGTTCACAAAAATACGTGTTCAATGTTGTCCACGTCTAACAATGACTCTGAAAGCCACCGGTCAAAGATAGTAGATAATTCAAATTCTAGCAATTATACAGGATCAAAATGTAAGAGAAGAAAATGTCACATATGTGATAAAACTAATTTCACCAATATAGTCAGAAGTTCTGTAAGAAATTACTACTGAAGTGCGGTTCATAATTATACGAACACCAAAAAATTTGTAAGTTTTTGGACTTTTTGAGAGAAACTCAAAAAGCAGTTGGTACCACGCGATAGAACACAGCCGAAAACGGTGTGTGATCCATAAGAATGGAAATCGATGTCAACTGTAGGAGTGTTTTTGCGGCTAATGCGAATTTTTAGCGGTTCATAATTATACGAACATCTCAAACAAAGGTCCATTTTTCATTCAAGATTGCAATCGTTTGAGTCCAAATTTTTTGAAGAGTTACAGTAACAAAGTCTGACATATCTTATATATAAAGCTGAATGTCTGTTTGTATGTATGTATGTATGTATGTCTGTACGTATGTTCCGAATAGAAAATTCCATTTCTGAACCGATCCGGACCAAACTTGGCACACATACACTACGGGCCCCGGCGGGTGTCATAGGCTACTTTTCGTCATCGATCGATATCGATTTTATCGATTTTTATCGATTTTTTTGCTGAGTTCACCTACGGGGCTGGGAGTTGGCACAGGGGGGTAATCGAGCATGGGGATTCCGAATACAATATTGGTTTTCAGGATTATCGATTACTTTTATCGATTTTATCGATTTTTTTGCAAAGTTTGAGCTACGGGGCTGGGAGTTGGCACAGGGGGGTAATCGAGCATGGGGATTCCGAATACAATATTGGTTTTCAGGATTATCGATTACTTTTATCGATTTTATCGATTTTTTGCAAAGTTTGAGCTACGGGGCTGGGAGTTCGCACAGGGGGGTAATCGAGCATGGGGATTCCGAATACAATATTGGTTTTCAGGATTATCGATTACTTTTATCGATTTTATCGATTTTTTGCAAAGTTTGAGCTAGGGGGCTGGGAGTTGGCACAGGGGGGTAATCGAGCATGCTGATCATCCCCAAGGGGGGTGATCAGCATGCTCGAACACCCCTGTGCCAAATTCCAGCCCCCTAGCTCAAATTTTCAAAAAATCGATAAAATCGATAAAAGTAATGGACGATCTTGAAAACTAATATTGTATTCGTAATCTGCATGCTCGATTACCCTCTGTGCAAACTCCCAGCCCCGCAGGTCAAACTTTGCAAAAAAATCGATAAAATCGATAAAAGTAATGGACGATCCTGAAAACTAATATTGTATTCGGAATCCCCATGCTCACTTCCCCCCTGTGCCAACTCCTAGCCCTGTAGGTGAACTCTGCCAAAAAATCGATAAAATCAATAAAAGCAATCGATAATTCTGAAAACTAATATTGTATTCGGAATCCCCATGCTCACTTCCCCCCTGTGCCAACTCCTAGCCCTGTAGGTGAACTCTGCCAAAAAATCGATAAAAATCGATAAAATCGACATCGATCGATAACGAAAAGTGGACTGTGACACCCGCCGGGGCCCGAAGTGTATGTGTGCCAAGTTTGGTCCGGATACGGCGGAGCCGGGTAAGCCAGCTAGTCTGCTATATACTAAACCCAGTGCAGTTCAAAAAGAGGATCGTTACTTTTTTCAGAAGGGGCTAAATGCTTTCGGAGTGATTGGGCTCCAGAAAAAGCCGTTCTTCTGTGGTTTACGCGCTCTAATTAGCTTCTACCAAAGCTTTGAGATGAAATAAGCTCTTGCGATAGGTATTTTGTTTGACGCTTTGAAAATCTTTGCGTTTTCGTGCCGTTTTTCAACCAAGTTCCAACCTTACCACAGAGTTACTACGAATTCGAGCCTCAAAACTCAGCTTCTGAAGCCGTACAATGAAGTAAGCATATAGTATGTAGAAGTTTACAAGACTTTATATTTGCCTAGAAAAAATCAGCAGCGTTGAGCGTTTGTTTTGGTCACGCAGAAGTTATCTCACCAGAAATACTGTTTTTACTATTGCAATCTCACCTTTATTTGGTTTGTAGCTCCACAGCCGCAAGATCAGTTCTAGAAAAAACCCAAAAACTTTGGTACAGAAATATCGTCATGCAAGCACTGCAGCTGCTTCATATTAAATGTTTGCGCAAGAGAGAAGCTGAGTTTTGAGACTCGAAATCGTGCTAACTCTGTGCTAAGAATGGAACTTGGTTGAAAAACGGCATGAAAACGCAAAGATTTTCCAAGTGTCAAACTACCTATCGAAAGAGCTTATTTTATCTCATAGCTTTGGTAGAAGCTAATTAGAGCGCGTGAACCACAGATGAACAGATGTTTCTGGAGCCCAATCACTCCGAAAGCATTTAGAGCCTTCTGAAAAAAGGAACGGTCCTCGTTTTGAACTGCACTGGGTTCAGTGTGTAGCAGATATGTCAGACTTTGTTACTGTAACTCTACAAAAAATTTGGACTCAAACGATTGCAATCTTGAATGAAAAATGGACCTTTGTTTGAGGTGTTCGTATAACTATGAACCGCTAAAAATTTGCACTAGGTGCAAAAACACTTCTAAAATTGATATCGATTTCCATTCTTATGAATCATATACCGTTTTCGGCTGTGTTCTATCGCGTGGTATCAACGGCTTTTTGAGTTTCTCCCAAAAAGTCCGAAAACTTACAAAATTTTGGGTGTTTGTATAATTATGAACCGCACTTTACAAAAGTAATAAACCCGAAAACTGTGATTGTGATTCAAGAAATATTGTTTATATGATAACATGTCTCACATGCAAATTACAATACATAGGAGAAACAACACAAGCATTGAGGACTAGAATCAACCAGCATCGCAACAGTT